TTTTTGCTTGGATATGCAAATATGGGGGCAAAAGGTGATATATCAGAATACAGACGTAAGCTGGACAAGACACTGACATCTCAGAACTTGGCAAATGAAGAAACGCTCAAGACTTTAGTGAAGAATCAATTATTACGTTCATCAGTGGATTTGCAACTTGGAGGTTGGATATTATTGACTTATAATGTTCTAACATCTTCAATTTGGCTAGACGTTATGTTTAAGATATCACAGACTCTGTTATATGTATTTGCAGAACATTTTAACAATGTAGTGGAAAAAAGAAGCAAAGAAGTGTCTAGTTTTCTAGATATGCTGAGGAGTGCTTCTGTCGATAGCGTTGAGAGGTCAAAATCCAGTGAGGAATTGGACAGTGGCTGGAAAGTATGTCGTTTGTCATTGATAGTCTTCCTCATTCAATTTCCACGAGGAAATTGGTGTAGCTTCATCATCATCGAGCTTTTATGACAATATCAACATTTGAGGCCTGCCCTTTTCAAATCTGGGATGTTGAGAATTTCATGATACAGTTACTCAATTTTTATTGCATGAAAACTCATCCAATGTTGAACATACTACGATTCCTTTTCAACTAGAAATGAGTTCATTATTCTGTTTTTAAGGTTGCATACTGGGAGTCTGTAGAAGACTTTTTTGCTTATTCTTCTAATTTTGCAGATAAAACAGGACACGGAAGAGTTCCGGGTTATGTATCGAGAAGGGCCACAAGGCACTCCCTTTCATACACTACTTGTTGAAGGCTATGTGGATGGTCCGCTAGATGTTTGTAAGCTAAATTACACTGCTCTGAAAATTTCAGTTTATCATCTGCTGAGTGAAAAGTCACTTAAGACCTGCACAAGTTTATAAATCTCCATGCACATCTTTTAAATCACATTTCATAATGTATTGCAGGTCTGTGTATATCATGGGAGTCGAGTCTCTATAAGAAATGGTGAGAGTTGCACTAAACTGTATATCCTTAAACTTTGGGGCACAGTATATGTATCTAAGTTGCTGGTATGCTGCCTTTTCTAATATGAATTAGCTCTCCGAATAAATATTTTAGTTGGGTAAGCAGAATCTGGTTACAAGCTTCTTCTTTCTAGATGCAATAGAAAGTTAAAAGTGCTCAGATGATTTGGTATATGGTGGTTCGTGACACATTAAAATTTTGGAAATAAAGACTATAGATTAATGTTATTGTTGACTGTCGTTTTGTATCAGGTGGCCTCAAACTGCAATTCCAACTTTCAAAATTGTCTCATCCCAGTGTTTACAAAAACTTAGAACTGGTGAGCAGATATCATTAGTGAGGTATGTCAATGTACTTGAACTTATTCCAGAGTTGTTTTCATAAACTAAACCTTTTAAGATACTGATGTATATCAAATTCTTTGGAAGAAAGGATGAAAGTTTCATGGCCATTGTCAAGCAGAGAGGTTCTAGTACATTATATTGTATTTGAATACTTTGAAGACGGGCTAGTTGTTGTGCTTCTTAACTCGGTAAATAACAGTTTTGTCCCATTCGACCGACACACGACTCTTTTTGAAATGAACAGTAACATTATATACTGGCTTTCAGATCTCCGATTCAGAGACCATCCATATAAGTACACATGGTTTCACCCGAGACGGAATACCTGAGGCGCAGGATGTAGTGAGAATTGATGTAGTGGGAGGCTTTGCAATACAAAAAGTGACTGAAGAAAGGAGTTACTTCCGGTGAGTTGTATTTGATCTTCATTTCTTTTTCTAATCACTTTTATGCATATGATTTCATTAGATATAGTGCCATTGCGAATAAACTTTTGACAAATTTGAATCCAAATGCATTTAATTTCATGTCACAATTCTGGTATTACTCACTTTCCCCCTTATATGTGTGTGATAAGGGGAAGGAAATTAACAAGCTTGCGATCTTAACTTTGTCATTGAGATAGCATCTGTTAGAAAACTACCATTATATTTGTGGGTGGCAATTATTAAATCCTCAAAACTTGGGACCAGCTATGAAAAACATGAACTGAGTTCAAGACTGTCTTGTGAGACAAAAAAATGTCTCCTTATGTTTGCTTATGTTTTTTCTGTGCCACTGACACGTTCAAAAACAATGCAAAATTACTTGTAGGCTTCATGATATTTCTGCTGTCCAATTTGTTGGACTTTTCTTTATCCCAAACTCCTGTCATACTTCCAAATTTCTGCAGGACAATTGCAAACATGGATATCAAATTGGACTTTATTCCTCCATCGTTCATCAATTTTATCTCAAGGCAGCTCATAGGTAGCGGTTTCAAGCTCTACAAAAAGGTTAACTCTGATTTTGCAACAGTTCTACTCACAAGATCAATTTGGTTATTGTATGGATATACCACTGTTGATATCAATATTTCAAATTTTACGTGAACCTCCTTTCTGATTTGCCTGGGGTTAAAGGGGGTGGAGACCTGTCCGAGTCTTGACATTTCATTAAGAAAAAGCAATTTATTCAAGCATATTTTGATAAGTTATTTTTTACTCGAAAGTAACTTTTACTTACTTTTAAGCTTCTCCCAAACATGTTCCTGTACTAATGGCCAATGCAAGAAATTGATTTTACTCTTGCAGCCTTTTGTTCTTTCCCTCCCTCAGTCTTTCTATCCTTGTAAAATGACAGGAAGTTGCTTCAGTTTCTAAAGGTGATGAAGACTTTAGGGAGATTTTAAAAGACCCACTCTACACTCGCATTCGCGAGGCTCTTTATTCGGAGAATATATGTATTGGGGCTCCTGAGCAAGGACCAAAGAATGAGACTTCCATTATGTCTGAAGAACAGACAGAGGCAAGAGAAGATGCTCATATGGGGGGGAATATTCATAGCAATGAAATTATTGTTGATCCAAAATCCGAGGATGTAGTGGTCAGAGATAAAAAAGGTCTTTGTGAAATTGAGGAGATTGAGGGAGCAGACATTGGAGAAACTGAATTATTAGATGAGAATATCAAGAAATCGAACAATCACCTGAGAAATGAGTTTAGACCCAAATTTTTGGTTGACAAGAAAAACAAAGTTGTTATTAGCCCTGAGGTTGAACAAGCTCTAGGAACATTAGAAAAGGTGATTTCTATTTTTCGGGAATATAGATCCAATCCCGAAACAGGATCTCGGCCTGGCATCAGCTGTGAAAAGTTCATTAATATAGAAACTGATGGTACAAAACAATCAGTTCCTTCAGAAGTTGATAAATTATGTAGACAAGGCGGGAATCTCACTGGATCATCAAAAAGAAGATTGACAGAGATGACTTTGCATGAGCTCAGGAACAGTTCTGGCAGTCACGGTTCCAGGTAATTTTCTGATTGAATATTTTCCAGTAATTTCAAGTGTGTACACATCATTTTCCTTACATGACTTGGTCATTATAGGTAATGAATTAGCAGTCCGTACTAGAAAGAAGTTGAACCTACTTTTTTCTGCTGCCTATTTCCAATTTCCTGATTTGGAGAAAGAAAATTAGGTATTATGCGGCTCATATTATCCTACTTGGTCTTCAAGGAGAAGTATATTCAACAGATTGGGGTTTCTATCTGGAATATGTATCACCCAAATCCTAATTTAGTAACATATATGGACACCACAACTTTAAACCATGTCATGATTCATTTCTAACTTGCACATGATTGTCTTCACAAACACTTTTTTATTTTACACAGAAACTTACGAACAAGCACACCACGTGCATACAAGCCTAAGACACCTGCATTGATAAAGGTGCAGATGCAAGCTCTAAATTTCGATCAAAAAGGCCTATATGCCCTTGACATTCACATTAGAACGAAAATGATTAACCTTATGACTTACTTCCTGCACACGAAAAGATCTGAGAATGCTTCCATCATCTGAATTTTTTCCTATTTCAGGTGTAGAGGATCCAAGGAAACTAGCCATAATAAGATAGCACCAGCTTCACCAGATGAAGGTCATTTGACGTTAGAGACAAATCACATTGCTTTATATTCCAACAAGAATCAAAGTACCGAGGCCACAGTTTTAGAGGCCAATCACATTGCTGAAAAGAGAACCCTCAAAACAAAGAACCAGAAGTCGAGGCATTGCTGCTTGATGTTCAATCCTGGAAAGTCGAGGGCTGAATAACTTCAGTTGTTGAAGGTGCAGGACCTCTAGATTTACACATGCATTTTCAGCTTCCAGAACTGAAATACAACTTGTTGTATACTAGTTAAATTATACTATTTCTTATCCATGTAAACATGCGTTTTACAGTTCAAATGTATGAAAAATAAAATTGTAGAAAAATCTCTCGTTTTTCTTTAGAAGATGTGACTCCCATTCGAGTTTTTCACAATCACTTTACAAAACTTTTAAATGTGTTTTTTCTTTCTTCAATCGATCTGTTCGCGGTTTAACGGTGACGGTGACGGAAAGATAACCTCGTGAGGTGCCATGCACATAGAAAAATGTTATTTCATTTTAGGATAAATGGGAAACATAATATGAAATAGGATTAATCTATATTTACTTCCTACATTACTAAATGTATTACTACATGGCCACATGGCAGCACCCTATTGGAGGGTCGGATGTGGGGCGTGCCGCAATGTGGCCATGTAGTAAGGTAGGAAGTACATGTAGCATCTTCCTATGAAATATAACCTCGTTAGGTGCAATGTGAAAAGGTGATAACCTCGTTAGGTGCAATGTGAAAAGGATAACCTCGTTAGGTGCAATGTGAAAAGGTGATAACCTCGTCAAGAGGATTGGATGTAGGGACAGATGGGGAAACATAGTGTAAACTTTGGTGACTGATTTGAAACAATTGAAAGTTTGATGGTCAAATCGAAATGTGATGTAAAGTTTGGGAAATCCCAGATTTCCTGTACGCTACGGTTTAAAAGTTGTACCATCACATTCACACCGCAGACTATAAATTCGGGAATCTCCGAGAACTTCTTCTGTGCCTGAAAATGTGGAAGAAGAAGCTCTACGCTTCAACACCACTCTCAACAATTCTATTAAGCACAAGAATATTAGCGAAAATCCATTCTCCAAAACATGCTCCGTTATTGAATCCACTATTACAAATTTCTGCTTCGTGTTCTCCTTCTCCTCCTCCATTTGTTCGCGAAATTGAAGTCCAATTTTTTCCTACTTCCGGAGGGATATTTTTCGGAGGCCCAAGGTTTCATAAGGAAAATTTTAATTTATTTGTGAAAAAGAAGAACTGTTTCTGCTCGGTGTCGCAATCCGCTGAAAAACTCGAGTGCTGGAATTGCGATGCCATTGCTGATAGTCCGATGCCGTTTCTGGTATGTCAAGCCTGTCGCAGCGTCCAACCCGTTGATCACTCGATTGATTATTTTCAAATTCTTGGAGTGTAAGTTTTTTTGGGTATCTTCATAAGTTTGTCGTATACGTGGTCTTGTTGGGGCAAAATTAATGGTAAAGTAATTGAACTTAATTAGTTTTATTCTTTGTATTGAATTCTAACCTGTTTTCCTATAAATTTACAATGGATTATCGGTGATTTTTGAACACGCTAATTATTAGTTTAGCTACCAAACATAGTTTCATTGTAATTATCCTATTGAGGAAAATGGATTCATGGACTTCTTTGCAATTGCGAGGAACTTTTGTTTTTTGTTTACAATTCCTCAACTGCACAACACTAAAGGATTTGCTACAGAGAAACAAAGTGTCTTATAGTTTTCCGGATTCACAAATGACTACCAGAGCTTTTCTTTTCCTTCACAGGGAAAGGAAATACAACATTGAAGTGGATAAATTAGAAGGGAAGTACAAAGACTGGCAAAAGAAGCTGCATCCTGATCTAGTTCATTCTAAATCCCAGGTTTGTATTGTGAACTGCCTCGTTTAATTTTCCTTTATAATGAAATTTTGGGCTGCATTAAAAATATATTCTTTTTTAATTTCTTTTTTGAACAGAGAGAAAGAGAGTATGCAGCTGAACAATCTGCTCGGGTGATTGATGCATATCGTACACTCACAGACCCATTGTCCAGAGCTATCTATATTGTAAGTTTATGTTCCGTTTTGTATAGCTGATATTTTTTCATGTGATGATGAAATTGCTGGCTTACATTTGTTGAGTGTTTATTTGACCACACAAGTACTTTTGCCATTTAGAAGTTAGGATATTGCGAATGTCTAGTAGTTGGCCGTTTTGAGTTTATGTTTGCCCTTGAGTTATCAAACAGGAAAAGAAATCTTGTTCATGTTGAACAAATTCTGATCTTTCACTTTTTCATTTTTCTTTGTCATACCCCCACAGTCCAACCGAGCTCATCACATGAGGGCAATTGATGTATCTTAATTGAAGATATGATGAATATTCTGAAAGAAATTTGGTGCCTTGGTGGAAATGTGAAAAAAATACATTAAGTGCAGTGGTTCAGTATCCTTGTTTTGGTATGTGGATGTTCGTTTTTACTAATTATTGTGAATGAGTTTGGCCCTAGTATGATGGATAATAAAACTTGCTAAACTGCCTCCATTAGCTGTCATAGCCTGGTCTATCACTTTATGTTTTGATTGTCCGACTCTCCCGTTGGCTTATGTGTAGCATTGTGTTGAACATTGCATTTCCCTTTTTCTATTCTTCTTTTAACTTGTTTACCTGTTCTGTACAGTTGAAGTTAGAAAATGTGGTTGTGGATGAAGAAGAAAGGATTACAGAACCGGAATTGCTTGCTGAGGTAATTTTTCTACCTAAAAGGATCTATGTTCAGATTTTTCTTTCCTTTCTAATTTTTTTTTATTGTCAATCAATTTAGTTTTAACAATTGGGTGCATTATGAAGTGTACATCTCCCCATGTTGGTCTGCTTCAGGATCATGAGAAAATGCTGTCTGGTCCTCATTAACTAGGTGCTCGGAAGATTCATTTAAATGCAAGTAGATTCTTTTTTCATTATTCTCACTAGTAGCATTTAGCAGGAATAAAAATAAATCTAGGTGTTGACCTTTTGTAACCTTCTCTGCATTTAATAGAAGGCTTTATTTATTTGGTTTTTTCTTTTCCCATCTTCTGCACTGAGATAGAAAATCTGAAAAGTTCATAGTGAGACTTCTTGGGGACGGGGAGAGAGAAGGCTTGGAATGGATGTTGGTATAAAGGAGGATGATTTCCAGCTTCTGTGCTGTGATAGATATTTTGAAAAAAGTTCATAGCGAGACTTTTTGGGGATGGAGAAAGAAGGCTTGGGAAGGGAAATGACAAGATAAAGGAGGAGGATAAGATAGGTAAAGATTGCAAGGCTGTTTAGAGTTATGTTTTTACTATATACTAACTTGAAAACATAATCAAAAGCATTACACTATAAGATTTTAAATCAAGTGATTTAACATGGTATCAGAGCACTCAAAAGTCCGACCACCCATTTAATGAAATTGTATACATTATAGGCTTTCATGGAAAAAAGTGAATACTGCCTGCACGTGAGGGGTATGTTGAAAATAAGATTTAAATAATATGTATTTGGCATACCAACTTAAGCATTTAGATCAAGTAGTTCAACACTGATAAATTCATAATTTATTATAGAGTCGCTATTTCAAGAAAATGCGCTGCGATAGTAATGAGTGGATATGAATGCAGATCATGGAGCTGAGGGAAGCTGTCGAAGAAGCAGAAAGCGCCCAAGCATTAAATCAGATCAAAGCTCAGGTATGAGTATGGTATCCAAAACTAGATGCATTTGAGGAATTCCTTTTCTTTCTTTGTATGTTTTTCTTTTTGCCTTTTTAGCAAAGCCTGCATATTCCTTCCAATGGCTCATGTTAGAAATATGATGAAGATAATATGCTGGGGTAACATCTCGAGTCTTTGATATTTATTAAAATTTGTCTCCGTATTTTACGATTAACAGAGCTAAGAATGGGTTTGGAAATCTATTTTTGTATAATAGTTGTACTTGACACTTGTACCATATTTAAATGTAACATCTCTCTCCCTCTCCCCTGTTTGCAGATACAGGGAAAAATGCAATATTGGTGTAACTCCTTTGAAGATGCGCTTCTGAATAAAAATTATGAAGATGCCATTGCTTCCATCCAAAGGATGACTTACTACAAACGTGCAAATGAAGAAATCATTAAGAAGCTCTAATAGAGGCAACAACGATCATGTTTGGCTAAGCTCAAAAACCTCACTTATAAGTAAGTTTAAAATAGATTAAAGTTGATTAAGTTACCTATTTTGACAATAAGATAAAGAGTTATCTTGAAATAAGTAACTTCTTTTTCTTTAAATTAAAAAGAAAGTAACATATCCGAAGGTGTCTCCAAGCAAAGTAAGAAACAAATTTAAAGAAACAACGTTAATTCTACTTTGTGTAAGCCTAGTCAAACAATAATTGAGTTTTTGTATTCACTTTTCAGTATAATATATTGTTCTGTAAAAACGTTTCCGTTGAGGACCATGATTCTCTGTCACGCCAATGGATGTGATATTGTGTTTTGTTTGGTTTGGTTTACGTACGTGTGGTAAAAGAGTTGTGGATCTTATGAAATGTTTAATTATTAATTTTGACTTAAATTTTTATCAGTTTTTTTTAGTTGAACCAAACAAAGGCGGTACGTATTATCATTAATTTTATTTTATATTATTTTATTCTATTATGAATGCAGTAGTAGTAGCGTGTAAGTTGAAATTGTGGTGATATTAAGTTCATGTTTGTCATACATTTTTTCAAAATTCTTTTTTTTTTTTTTTCAAACTCATTTTTAATCATATATTCACATAATAAAACATTTTGCATGCTACAAAAGTTTTTTTCTATTTTTTAACCACACATTCTCAAAAAAAAAAAAAAAAAAATCACTCTTTCAAAATTTATTTATTTTTTTTAATTTTTTTAATGGTTAGCTTTTATCCTTCACTCTCTCGCTAAAAGAATGTCTAAAATCTCTATTTTAGTTAAGTCAGAAAGGGGGGACGGGCTTTTTAGTAGAAAGCTATTCCATTTTTGTTGCTCTTGTTCACGAATCCTTTTCTAGTGAACTTGGAATAAAAGTTGGAGCATGTTCATGCCGCAGGAGTGGAACATAGGCTAATATTCTTTGCTTCAATTCTCTTAAAAACAAATGAAATAACACTTTCTATCTTATAGCAAGCAGCATCGATACGTAACTCGGCTCCTCCACTTCAGTTTGAAATACTCTCTTTATTTTATGCATGTCTCAATAACACAACAAAATAGTTGTTTTGCTCGTTATAGGATCTGACTAAACATGAAACGTCCGGCGACAAAATTGATGCCGTCCTTGCGAGATGATACATGCACGAACTTCTCATTACGAGCAAGTTTGTTCACATGTCAAGCAGCGGTAATATACGTGCATTATATCGAATTGAATAAAATGTCATTGCTTTTCCAGACATTGTCAATTACTTTTGAGTTTGGTTTTTGCGACTGTACTCCCAAAGTAGAGGGTAACATGTCTAAGCTATTCCATTGATATGAGGAGACTGAGGACGAATACTCGTCATTCATGATTTGTTGATGTGTATAGATTAATTGTGAATATTCATCATTCATGACGTAAACTATTATGGTATAATCTTATTTGTTCTCAGTAGATTGAGAAGTAGAGAATTTGTGATCAAAGAGGAATGTTATGTCTCTTATGGGTAGTGTTTACTTAAAAAATTACTTTTAATGTTAAAAAGGCAAACTATAGTAACTAGATTGAAAATTATCCTAATCTGAGAGGAGTTATCTGGAATAAATTGTGTAATATAAGGCACCGTCTTTGAAAAGTTTGTGCTCTTTATTCTTGAGGACTCATTGTGCTTTTATGTTTCTGTAGAAATCCCTCGGGACTGTGTTATATGTAGTGAGGTCTATCATCTAGCGGTATGTCAAAATATATGGTTGTCCAACATAGTATCATCGTATACACAAACTATAATATCGACTGATTGTTTCATTTCTCTAAATCTGTTCTTCTCATCTCATGCCTAGTGAGATTGTAGAGTTTAATAAAGAATACACCGAGGAAAATGTAACAGATCAAGTGGTTAGTGGTTCATTCCGAATGGAGTCATCTGAACAGGGACCCTTTCACTTCCCCAGATTACGTGGTGATATTAAAGCCATTAAACATAGTTTCTTTGGCGGTATCAACCGTTTCTTTGAAGCAGCGCAGCCGAAGAGATGAAGAATGATTTCTTTAATACAATTGTGGCTCCTCGCATATTTGATGACGATTCTTCGTCCTCTCGCAGTAAGCGAGGAATTCCCGTTGAAGGCAACCCTCCTAAGAAGCTCTTCCCAAGAAAAATTCTGATGGAGATGTTGTATCTTTCTGGGTTGGCTAGAGATGTTTGAAGCACAGCTATCTCGAGTTTCACTCTTGTACATTTTAATGATTACCTTTGAACCTAGTTACCATATGTTACTTTTTGAATGCAACTGCTGGAACTAATATTTACCTTATTTTGTAGCAGAAGGTTAAAAATTAATTTTGCAAATCAACAAATATTCGTTTCAGATAATCATAATTAAGGTTCTTTTATCTCATCAGGGTAGGAACTTTTTATCCTACTAACTGGGCGAGGAGATCATGATTGAAAGTTAATAATACAATGAAGACTCGTTCAAGGGCTTGTCCCCGAAAGTGGCTCTCCACTTGATAGTCATGTCCATTCATGCAAGGCATAATCAGGATTTCATTAAGATTTTTGTTCGTTCTTAGAATTATTTTGATAACTCCATGTATCTAGTTTTCCATATAAATAGCCAAGCGAGTGGTGTAATTTTCATGCAATTCCCGTCTATCATGCACCCTTCCCATCAACAAAATAAAAGTGTTTATGAAGTTATTGTTTATAAACAGATCGAAATAAGTGGTTGATTTGATAAGTAGATATTACTTATAGGTCCAACGAAATATGTGAATAAAAAGTGGTTCGACTTCAAATATATTTGGGTCAAATTTATTTTATGTTTTTTTTTTTTTGAAATTTCATCCAATTTGGAACTGAAATTGATAAAATTTCGTTCTTACCACTTGAGTTACACTTTCATTTTAAAAATTATAACTTTTGAGGTAACAACAAACCATCAATTTATAGTTGACGCGTCTTAGGATTTGGAAAAACAAAAAGTTCCAAGTTTCTAACAGAAAAACCTGTCATCTCTCTCTTTCTTTCGGTTTCTCTCTCCTTCCTGTTTTCCCCCTTTGTGCGTTTATTTCAAGAAAGAGGGAGAAATTGAAATTCAGAATCAAGATCAAATTTTAGATAATATCATATAGATGTAGAGAGAGAGAGATGGACTTGGTAAACAAAAACCTGTTCACATACAACCATTCTTTTCATTGCCCTAATTGTTTTATCATATTTGGTTTAGTCTTGCCTAATATGATATACCTATTCTGCGTGCTTTTTCTCTTTGACATTTTCTTGATTATATAAATTTTATTTCTATACATTTCAAATTTCAAACAAAAATCACATTTTTTTTTTTAATTTGTTTATATTACCTTTTCCATTGATAACCGGAGCTTGCTTTTATTATTAATGTGTATAAAAAGGTAATGGGAGGTGATTTGAATTGATTATTTGGTAAGTTCCTAAAATTATTGACATCACCGTTATTTGCATTGATTTTTTTAATACTTTTTCAAATCACCAAGCTCCGTGACTGATGATATTATTTGATGTGCTGGGTGTGTAATGCTTTGATTTCCTTCTCTGGCTGTCCTGTAGAGTTACTGGTATTTAGGGTTTCACAGTTTGGGTGAATCTTCAAGAGACTGAATCTTTTCTGTTGTGGGGAATTTGACGGGGTTGAATAGGTTTATAATGGTTATAGAGTAGGAGATTTGGGAGGGAAAAGTAAGAGAGACGCAATTATGGGAAATACTTGTGTTAATGGGAAGATTGCTAAGGATGGGTTTCTTCACACAGTTTCACATTTGTGGTGGCCTAAATTACCACAGCTGTTTTCTAATAATCAGAACAAAGAAAAATGTTGCGAAGCGCCACCTGCAATTAAAAAGTTAGAAGGTCCTTGTCCTGTTCAGAATACACCCCCTGAATTGGTGGAGATTGAAAAGGAGGAACGTCAACCAGAAAAGCCAGCACAACCCCAGGCAACTGTGATCGCAGTAAAGGAAGATCAAAAACCACCTCAGTCTAGATCATGGAAAGATGAAATCAAAACTGATGAGAGGAAACAGGTTCAAAATCCTGAGAATGAGAAGCCGAAACCAGTAGATCCTCCAAAGCCCAAGAAACCCCACAATGTGAAAAGAATGATGAGTGCAGGTCTTAAGGTGGACTCAGTTCTAAGAACTAAAAAAGGAAACCTGAAGGAATACTATAATTTGGACAAAAAACTTGGACATGGGCAGTTTGGAACGACGTTTTTGTGTGTGGAGAAGACAACTGGAAAAGAGTACGCGTGTAAATCTATTGCAAAGAGAAAACTGTTGACTCTGGAGGATGTGGAGGATGTCAGGAGAGAAATTGAGATCATGCATCACTTAGCTGGCCACCCGAATGTCATTTCAATCAAAGCAGCTTATGAGGATGCCGTGGCCGTTCATGTTGTGATGGAATTGTGTGCAGGAGGGGAGCTCTTTGACAGAATTGTTAAAAGAGGGCATTACTCCGAGAAACAAGCAGCCGAGCTTACCAGGACAATAGTTGGTGTTATTGAAGCCTGCCATTCTTTGGGAGTCATGCACCGGGATCTCAAGCCCGAGAATTTCCTATTTGTCAATGCGGAGGAGGATTCTCCTATAAAGACAATAGATTTTGGGCTATCCATATTCTTCAAGCCAGGTTTGTTCCAAAGTTGTTTTCGCGATTTTTTTTTTCATAAGTTCCTGCATATATTGATTTAATCTTTACCTAGTTCTATGTAATTTACCTTTTCTTTGTTTAATACTTTAAAATCTTGACATACTGCCGTCAGCAATTTTGTAGCTTCAACTAATTGCCTACGTCATGAGAAGTCTCCGTACTAAAACTGGTTTATAATGATCAGTAACGACAAGTATCCTCCATGTACTTGGTGAATGTATCCACTTAGCAAAGTTTAAAATAAATTAGACTGATAGCAAAACTAATCCAGTTCAACGTTTCAATATAAACATTGAACCAATATCCATGAAATAGGCTGAAATGGCAAACTGATGGATTGCTGCGGAATATGACAAGATAATATACACTAGGTACCAATATATTATTCATTGTTGCTAGATTTTCTCTAGCTGAAACAAATGTGTTCTGGATTTTCCCTTCCTCCATTGCATCTGGGATGCAAGTCCAATCACGTATTAGTAAGAGGCTAGAATGCAGAGGTTGATGAAATTATGAATTTAGAACTTTAAGGTATCTTAATGAAGAGATGATGGTTAGTGGAAATATAATTGTTTTGTTGTTTGTGAGTGGAAGGATATTCATTTTTAGCTCAAGATGGCAATTGAACTAAAAAAAAATTCTTGTCGAGTTAGAATTTTGTGTAAATACCAAGTTGAAAATTTACAAGAAACCTTTTCTGTAAAGTCCCCTGAAGGAGGTTTAAGGTTAGCTGTGGGAAGGAAAAAAGAGTTTTGTCTGTTTTCTCTATAGGATCCAACACTGCCTTGTTAACTAGGAAACTTTAGGAACAGAACTTATGTTCATGTGGAAGGCAGTAAGCACCAAAACTGATTTGAGTTACAAGAATGGTTTAAACACAAATGAAATTGTTATTACAGGTTCCACCTCACAGATACCCATCACAATGCTATTGCAGAACAGATTTCATTTTATACCCGTCAAGGCTGCCTGTGCTATATTAGGCACATAGTTATTATTTGACTTAATTTTAGATCAACGTTATTATTTAACTTAATTTTAGGTCAACTCTATCTATAGTATCAAAAATACGTGCAGCTCCATAATTTCCTTCACCTGCCAGCAAACTGGCCAGGACACTTCAGTATTATAGAAAGAGGGGGATACAATTAGGATCAGTCTTGCCATGTGTTAGACAAAATTTTAACTAAGGTCAACGCTATCTACAGTATCACAATTACGTGCAGCTCTATGATTTCCTTCACTTGCCAACAAACTGGCCGGGACACTTCAATATTAAAGAAAGAGGGGGCTATGATTAGGATCAACCTTGCTATGTGTTAGACGAAATGCTGACTAAGGGTTGTGCTGAAAGGAAACCTTGATCATGAGATTTTCTTTTTCTTTTTCTTTTTTCCTATGCCAATACATTTCTCTATAAAAAATTTATATTGAAATAATTTTTGTTCACTGAAATTAGTATCAGTTTCTCAGGTTAAAAGAGACTGCATTTTAAGTTCAGTCATTCTACTCAGTTTGCAGTTGTATGCCCACCTATAGACTTATAGTCATACCCAGTCATATTGGACGTTTGCTTATGGACTATTGAAGGCACATCATTTCCTAGTTCCCACAACAATTTAGTAATTTTGTTTCTTCCATCTTGTTGTTTATACGCATTTCAACCCACAAGTTCACTATTCTAATTCTGTGCACTGTTGGAATATCCAAGTCTTTAGTTATGCATGTTTGACCATGCTCTCTTTGGTTGCTTAATTAATGCTCTGCACTATAGGGGATATATTCACTGATGTGGTTGGTAGCCCATATTATGTCGCTCCAGAAGTTCTTAGTAAGCGCTATGGACCAGAGGCGGATGTCTGGAGCGCAGGTGTGATGATTTACATTCTTCTTTGCGGCGTGCCTCCATTTTGGGGAGGTAAGATGTAGAATGTTTTTCCCCCTTTAATTCACGTTCCTTTTAATTCATAAACTTGCATTTCTTATGCTTCTCTAAATTCATTTGGCACAGAAAGTGAGCAACAAATATTTGAAGAGGTTGTGCATGGCGATATTGATTTCTCATCAGATCCTTGGCCTAATATCTCTGAAAGTGCCAAAGATCTGGTGAAGAGAATGCTTGTGAGGGATCCAAAAAGGAGGTTAACTGCTCACGAAGTTCTTTGTAAGTCACAAATGTTTCACTTTATGGTTACTGTGTGTATATTTAAATGCTAAGGCTTAAAGATGGAACATATTAGCTGATGCAAATGAAGTAATTGCCCGTGTTCCAAAATAATTGGATCTGACATCTAGAAATGAGCTATATACTACCAGAAGGTCTAAAGTATTCTTTTGACTGAATGTTTATGTTGCTACAAGATAAAAATTGTGCTACTTGTTTACTTTGTTGAGATTGACCTTGTTAATCTTATGGAAGAAACCAGGCGTTGACTTTTTCTTTGAAATATTTGACAACTATATAGAATGAAGGGTTATTCCACACAATGCACGCCCCCCAAGTGTAGTAAAAAATGTCGGCTCGTGGCCCCCACCTCGGTAATTTGAGTGGGGTGTAAAAGATTATGTATAAAATTATGTACATGTAGACTAACCCATAGAATGAATTATGAAGCTGTAGAAACATTTGGAATTTTGAGTTGGACTGTGTTAAGAGCCTATATAAAGTCGAAATTAGACAAGTTTATGATTTGTGTAATCACATAATTTTTCCATACACAGCTACATCTTCCATTTGGGTTTTCTTGCAGGCCACCCTTGGGTGCAGGCTGACGGAGTAGCTCCTGATAAACCTCTTGATTCTGCAGTTTTAACTCGCTTGACACAATTTTCAGCTATGGACAAGCTTAAGAAAATGGCTCTTAGGGTATGTGTTATATACATATTGACTTTGAACAATCCAATTTTGACAATAATAATTGAGCGATCGAGATTTTTTTCTTATCAATGTGTACATGCAATACTCGTTACAATAACAGGACAACAATATTCTTTATTTCCTTTTTTGTTTTTGTATTAAAATATTGACATCAACTTTTTTGATTATAGATCATTGCAGAAAGTCTCTCAGAAGAAGAAATTGCAGGGCTAAAAGAAATGTTCAAAATGATAGATACAGACAACAGCGGTCATATTACTTTTGAAGAACTTAAGGCTGGACTGAAACGATTTGGAGCAAATCTTGATGAATCTGAGATATATAACTTGATGAAGTCTGTAAGTATTATTTTCAACCTCATGCATTAGTACTAAATATATTACCAGGTGTCAGTAGGAAGAATACACAAGTTCATGATACATATGATATTTCTTGTATTTGAATTATCAAATGTTTGTTTCTTGACATGCAGGCAGATGTTGACAACAGTGGTACGATTGATTATGGCGAGTTCATAGCTGCAACATTGCATCTGAACAAAATCGAGAAGGAAGATCATCTGTTTACAGCCTTTTCATATTTTGATAAAGATGGCAGTGGCTATATTACACCAGATGAACTTCAGAAAGCTTGTGAAGAGTTTGGCATAAAGGATGTCCACTTGGAAGAAATGATCCGAGAGGCTGACCAAAACAACGTAAGTCCCTAAATAAACTTGGCATTTTTCCAAATCAATTTGGGGTCGACTGCACCATTTCAATCCATGTTTTACTTTTCAGGATGGACGGATAGATTATAATGAGTTTGTGGCGATGATGCAGAAAGGAGATGCAGATTTAGGTAGGAAGAGGTTACAAAATAATTTTAATATTGGATTTAGAGAAGCAATGCCAGTTTGTTAACATGAAACTCTTGTCTCTTTCTTTATCTGATTTTGTAATATAAACAAGTTGAGTAGGTTCCAGCATCAGTTGATGTTATTACTGTGTAGAGATGATGCCTACTCCTTTCAGTTTCACCATACAATTTTTGATAGTTTGTTACTTCATATGGATCCTGTTTGTTACGTACGAATATTTCGCCTTATTTTCGTATCTACTTGACGGTCAAGTTAGGTACACAAAATGTGGGTCCCACACATTCTCCAAAACTTCTCACAAACAAAACCTAACTTTCTTAGGGAATACTTCAATTGAACCACTTCCGCCCCTTCATGTTCTTCTGCACATGCTCATCCTGCAAAATGTACAAAAAATATTTTTAGTATAATTAAATTAATTTTTTAAAAACAGAGATAAAAAAATATGTATTTCAATATTCTCAATTTCTCACCCTTTCTGCATTAGTTTGGGATAGTTTTTGCTTTTCGTAGAAGAACTTCTTCAAAGAAATCAAATTGGATCAGTTTCTTCTAAAAACTCTTCAAACTAACAAAACATCCATAGAAAATGATCCATATAGGTCTAAAAACAACATTTACTCTCATAAGCAACTTTTAGCTTTTTTTAAAGCCCTATCAAATGGATCTTACAAGACATTAACATGCTAACAAATTTATTTTGTCGAGTCCTATCCCGTATAATTGAAGCCCACCAACGGACCCTACAAGACATTAACGTGCTTGCAAATTTATTTTGTGGAGTCATGTTCAGTATAATTGATGCCCACCCGAAACAAACTACAATTCCGGCAACGCCCACAAAACCCTCAAGTTGCACAAGTCAAATCACCCCATAAATCAAGATTTAAACAGCAGTACATAATGTAAACATACTTCGTCTTTGCTGCTTTGTGACAACCTTAGCAGGGCAGGTTTAGTTTCTTCCAGAGGGAACAAAACTTCATCAATTCCCTGTACAGAAATTCTTCTGTATGATATCAGGATCAAATAAATATGCAGAGGCATCTCCTTGTCCAAATTTCATTGATCCATCAGCCTCTTCAGCCACCACTTTGTAAGGCAATCTCAGGATATCATACCTCACATTTCCAAATCTCCTCACTGAATTGTACATATTTTCTTAAGTTTGGTACTCGGGAATTAGATGATAATACATTATTTGCTCGGGACGGGAGTTGGGTGCACCGGGTTCTCTCAACTGATCTGTAGTTAATTTTGCCATGACTTCATCATTTGGTGCCAAAACTGTAAGCACGTAGCCTTCTGATATTAATCTTCCCATTTCAGAAGCGAAGGATGTAAGATTGACGAGAATTTCAGCCATTTCGTTATAGCCGGAGGAGAGTCTGGATGAAGTCCGTCGAAATGATGGTGGTGCTCACCTGGACCTGGAGAGGGTGCCGGATTTAGAGATGGACAGGGAGCCACTGCATCGAAAATGGGCAACACCGGAGGCTCGCCAGCAGGAACCGGTGGCGCTGCTTTCTTCAGCCCTGTGGGTTCTTGGGTCAACTTCTGGTGCTCCCTCAGTTACTACTGCAGGAATTGACCTCGAACTTCGCCTGGTATTGGAATCTTGTTGCACAGATTTGGGAACCAACAATCTTTCAATGCCGTGGATGATGCCACCTGGGCGAATAATATCATCTGCTTTAATAATTCTCGCCTTGCCCACAATTTTATCTCCATTTTTCTCTCTCTCTCTGAATTTTTTCTTCAAATGCATCACGGCAAAGACTGGTATGATGGATAGGCTTGTTCACCTCCACAGGCCAATGCTTGGACTTAATGCTAGTTGGAATCATATGGAAAAGCAGCAGATTTTGAAGGGATTTCAGATTCCTCGGCTCAAGCAAAAATCGCTTAAACTCCACATCCAAATATCGTTCCAATGCTTCATTTCACTGCGCAAAGATTGTAATATTATGCTTCGACACAGCTCCTTCAAGAGTCTGTAACAAAAATGCTTTTCAGTTTTCAACCAGTTCAGAGAGCAGTGTGTAATGAGAATCAACAAGGGCTACAAGAACCGAGTTTGAGTTTATCTGGTCCGCTGTTCCATTTTCTTGCAATGCAGAACTTGTGTGAGGTGATAAACTGAAGATTGTGAAGAATCCACAGATCTGAAAATCCATGGCGCTTGATAATTTACAGTTTCGAAGTTTGGTATTTCAGAGCACTTGGTTTGCTCAAGAATGTGTTGGTTTCCCGTGGCATAGTTCTGATACCCAAGTAAAGACTCATATGAAATTGAGTCGTGAATCCAACATTCGCTCAAGTAGCATCTACATTTGACATTGTCTTAAGAGCTGTGTCCATCGAGTACACATTCATTACTCTATTGGCTGGCTCAAATTCACTTGAAGGCTTACATTAGTTTCGAGTTATTGCTGTCCTGTCAAGACTTCAGATTGGTTAGCTACTTGACACTGCGTGAAAATGTTTGTTGTATTATTGTGATGTACATAAATCATACCGTGGAACTACTTTCTTTCCTTTCCCCAATTAATTTCGGACATTTTGATCTTTGGTAGGTAATTGAGTTCACCGCAAGCTAAAACCATCTAAATCAACTATAAGGTTGACATGTACATGTCGAGGTGGAAGTCGACCTGGACCTTACTTGACTCTGCTCCATATACTTAAAAAAAAATTTATAGCTTAGATCTTTCGGAAAAATTGAGATGAAAACTTGCAATCAATCACCAAAATCTAAACATATTCTCAGCATCCCAACAAGAAAGAGAAGTTATGTTTCAAGGGATATATTTAAAGAACAGAGCTATTCTTCTTGTCAGTGTGTTGCCTTGAAAAATATAAACATTCAGCAAACACGTCTTTTGATTTTGAATGGTAATCTATTTTTCAGTAGCAACGAATTTACAAGCAGATGCAAATAATATAAATTATTGTAGCTCGGCCTTCCTGCGAAAAGATGCCAGGTCTCTCATCCTCAGAATGTCATCTTAGGAGAAAGGAACCTGCAAATGAAAACCAAATTCTTGTGAAAACTTAAATACGCGATGACAAGGATTCAGAAAAGCAATCCAATCTTTGCGAAAGACTCAGTATCAGTAATTCATATATCAACTTTCCCCTTAAATACCACAAGCAAAAGCATTCAGAAACTCAAAACAAAATAAGCACCAGTGGACTTGAGAAACACAGAAGGAATCCTAGTTTCTATTACTCATGTTCTTGGAAACACTCCTCACGCAATGCTACTAGCGGTAAAGAACCAGAGGATGTGTAATGGAAAAACTGAACTGATATAAACAGTTTCAAATGCAAGAATCACGTGAGTCACAGTCACTACATAAATAAATATAGAATTTAGACCTCCCGATGCTACTTCAAGAGAGAACTGTTTGATTGATTTAGCCTTCATGACAATCAACTGGTGCACAGCTTTTCCACTATCATACTATTCTTTTGTTTCTCTATTATATGGTGGTAGGTCTATTTCCTATCATTTTTATTTTTTTTGATCACCTATTTCCTATAGTTTAGTGCCAAATTGATTCATGGCCTTTTGTATCATAGCACATAAAATTATACTTTTAGTATTTTATGAACCAAAATCTCTTGCCATAAAAGTGAGCGAAATCCCAAGATCTGAGCTATGTCATCTACTTAATGGCAACATGGCTACAATCTAATACTACAAAATAGTCTTCCTACTTGCATAAAGATCAACACATGTCTCTTGACCACTTGAGCAACTAAAATAACTCACCTCCAAAGATGAAATGCTGAGGATTGAGGAAGGATTCATCTTACGTCATAAAACTTAATGTCAAATTGAACTTGTGGCAAAGGCAGAAGAATTATTGTTATTCAATGGTGCTTCATTTTGCGTGTCCATATCATCATGGTTGCTTCGCACAGTGACAGAAGAATCCACTGGGCTGTTTGCTAGCGGAATGCGACCAGCTCTATTATTATCTCTAATTTCAAGTTGTTCCATCATGCGGGATACAGTAGCAATTCCAGCATTCACCTCCCTCCTAACCTCAGAACTGACATCCGCCATCGATGAGTTTCGAGAAAACAGCTTCTCCTTCAATTCTCTTGTACTCTTTGTAATCGACTCTTTGTATCTTGGATAAATTAATCATATCTCAACACAGTTTAGACTCGAGAAGACAATGGGAATATCAATAACTTGTACATAAAATAAGAACCTGAAAGAATGATTTTACTCATACTTCATCGATATTGCATTGAATCGAGATTTCCAAGTGTGTGAAAATGACTGCATCTCTGATGGTCCAGCTCTGTCTTGATTTGATAGGGAAGATTGACTTGTATAGCTTCTTAAATGGAGGAAAAAGTCACACTACAGAGTTAATAGGGGGAAAGAGATGATGCATAGATCAAGTATTAATTTACTATAACTCTATGATACTCCTGGATCATACTAAAACATGCATTAAAAGTTCAATTTGGGAAAGGGAGTTAAGACTACCTATTATCATTAGGTGTTCCTTGACCAGTTGGCATGATAAAAGTTCGAGATGATGAAGCTGAAAGTCGATTTCCTTGAACAGATGATGGCATAAGTTGTGGCTGTTCATCCCCGATAGATGTAAGCTGGAGCGATGGATTAGTTAAAGTTGCTGGATCTGGTACAGATTGCCCTCTACCAGGAGTCAAGGAAGCTGAAACAGGAGCTGCAGAAGATGAATTATGCTGAGTTGAGAACACAACAAACTGCTGACGGCCTTGCCCAGATGAGCGACTCCTTGAGTTTTCCCTCCTAGCTAAGTGATGACCCCTTCCCATTGCAGCAGCGGCAGTCAACTGCTGGATAATGCGGTCCTGAAGTTCAGAATTATTCACCTCCACCGGCAACTGCATTTATGAAGGAGTTTAAAGACGCAACAATATAAACTCGTTCATAACCATGTGAGAAACCAGAAAAAATTAATAGTTCAGATAGTCAACGAACATGCTGCAACTCAAACTCCCCAAGAGTGGGATAATGAAATATCGTGGCATTTCTTGATGGTGTTAACCTAAAACTTCTCTCCCACTCTACTGCCTCGAGCAATTCTTGACTGCCATGACATTGAAACATAAAGTCCCTTAAAGTGGATACAAAAAATGATGATATTGAAAGTAAGGAGCAGCCAGAAACTAAAATGAGAAGGCAAACAACAGAAACGAACCTGGCAGGATCTTTCAGTCCAAGTGGTTGCCAACACATTGGACAATTAGAGCTTCTTTGACACCTGTTTATTTTAAAAAGAAAGTAAAATATTTCCTCACTTCTTTTCCTCACTAGGTTCTAACCATTGCAAACAGAAAATTTGAGAGTTCTGTATGGACTGAATTTCATGCTAATCCTGAGATGCTTACCTATCTACTCAAAAAAGTGGCTTAGAATAATCAATGAGTTTGCAGAATGAGATCTAAATGGTAGTTTCACAAAATTGCACCATAAGTAAGTTTTCTCTTTCGCCTAGGTGGAGAGGGGGGAATGTAAGACGAGACTCATTCAACAGTCTTGGACAGAAGGTAAGGAACGGAGCTTCTTTCCTTTTAACTCAATTTGGTAAATAAACTATTAAAGCATTTTCAAGAGACTCTTTAAATTAACATTTAATTTTGAGAGACTCTTTATAATTAAATGCATTCAAAGTATTTCAATTTTCAATGGAGGAAAATAATATAATAATTTAGAGAAAAGCTAGTGCAAATAAAATAGAGAAAAAACAATAAATATTTTTTGGTAGTAGTAAAATTAATTGTTAAATATAAAGAGCCCGTTGGAATACTTAAAAATCTCTCTCTAAATTCATAGATGCTCTTCAAATTATAGAATATACTTTTTGAAAATAGCTCTTAATATAAGATGTGAATACATCACCTTTATATTTTACCTAAGAAAGTTGAGTGTGCCAAGTCATCAGAAAAGTTCCTGCGCATACACTTAATTGCTTAAGTACAGATCAACTTCTTCCAGTTCGTGGAGCAATATTGCACTTTATTTCTAAATGCCATTCGAATGACGAATGGTGTGCAACTTTATCAATCACCGTGCACCCAATCCCCATGGCACAAAAGTACAGATGTTTCACTGAACCTTGGCTGCTACAACTATTAGTACAATTCCCCACCCCAAGAAAGAAGATAAATACAGAAGAAGAAAGAAAAAACACCCCACCCACACGCACGCACACATGCACATTTTGCTTCTTTCTTCTTTAATTGGTGATTTGTACCAAATAAACTATTTTTGTCAGGTTTAAGGTTTGAAGGTCCACCTTAGCCAATCTCTACTTCCAGTAGATAGAAGCATAGACAATTCCAAATAACAATCAAGGTATAACATCAACACTGCTACAGGATCAATGACAGGGTCTTTTACACGGGGCACACGCGTTGTTATTTCATAGGACAGTTAGAAAAAAATTCATACAAGTGCTGCCAACGTAGAATCGTCAAAATCCCTGTCATTGAACCCTGTGCAAGGAGCATTTTTGAACATTTAATTGCTAATCATGAGATGGGCAAGCCAACAACAGGTTTATGGATTCTTACTCCAGTGAAGTAATCATTGTGCCAAGAATTGATCACTGGAAACTGCCGTACTCATGCCAAGACTCAAAATCATTTGAAGAAACAGATGTGACAAATTGCTAAGATATAAGCTTCCAACAGTATACATGAAGCCCTTTGGTCTTAGTAATTGTCGTATAAGATTCCTCCACTATCCTCTCTCCAATCATGTTACATGTACATCATCTTTTATATAATTATTTATATCGTGTCACGTACCAACACACAATTAGATAGTTTAAAAAAAAAAAAATTCCCACCCACAATTTTTGAAAACAAATGGAATGTCAAAGACAATGTAAGCCATTGAATGTACGTATGGCATTATTCGTCCTCTCTCATCCACCTACTTTAGCTAAAACAACAGTGGCCAACCCTCATTGCGCGGTACTCA